ACAGGCATCCTTGTTATAGTTCTCACCAATGAAAATCACAATGGTAAAAACAACTCATTAAATACATTTGCTTGGGACAGGGTATGAGCTGGAGGCTTCTGGCATGACAACAATAACATCCCTGGAGCGGAAAGCTGAAAATGGCCTTGGAGTCAGGAGGCCTAGGCTCACATCTCAGATCCACCTTGTAAGGCCACTTAACCTCTGGCACTTGGTGTCCCCGCCATCTGTAAAGTGGGGTTAACATCCACCATGCAGAGCACTATTTTATAATGTAAGGGGACAGTTCCCGACTCACAGTTGGCAATGAGTATTAGCTAAATCTGAATTTCAAAGAATAATTTTCTCTTAAAAAGTCAATAAAAGGAAAAGCCTGACCTGCCAGGTATATCCAATTAGAAAACATTTAAAATCGTTACCCAAAATATTTCAGGCTTTCCAGAACGAATACAAAAAGAAGGATCTCAAGCCTCCACCGGAACAAGAATCGTTATGACAGAATTTAAAACATGATCAGTTATGGAATATTGCTTTCAAATGTGATAGTCTTCTTCCCTGCTAAGGACAGATGACGGAGTCTGGGATAGTAAAGCAAACATTTCAGTGGGTTGAGCAAGACAAAATTTGCTCACAACATTTCCTACAGAAGGGGCATAGGGGGGATAAGGGGGGTGAAGACACAGCTATTCCCCGTTCTGTGTTTGTGTGGGCTGTTTGGCCTTACTGCGTGAACATCAGGGGTAAATGCAGCCAATAAACCCTTCACTCTGTACACAAAGTGAGTGACGTGTAAGAATTAAGACAACTGGGTTATTATCTGTTTTTAAAGACAGCTCAAAGTTTCCCTTTGTTTCACCTCCTCCTCCCTCTGCCTGCAGGGACCCTGCTTCACCATTTCCTCTCCTCTCCTGCTCCAGTCCGGCCTCTCCACTGGCTCCTTCCCCGCGGCCTACAAACGTCGCCAGGCTTCCTCACCCTATAAACACGGTCAAATTTCCTCTCTGCTTGACCCTTCTTCCTTCTCAGGCCTCCCTTGTCCTGTTTATCAGCAAATTTCATGAGAGAGTCGCCTACCCCAGTGTCCAAACCTCACGTGTTCCATTCATTGTTGAAATGAAGTCTGGCTTCCAACCTCAGTGTTCTCCTGAAACTGCCTGCTTAAAGGTCACTGCTGACCTCCTAAGTGCCACACACAATGACCTATTCTCAGCCACCTGTCACCTCACCTACTGCAGCATTAAGAGCTATCTGTGGTTCGCTCATTCTTTTTGAAAACCTCTCCTCCCTTGACCTCTAACACACGGCTGTCTCCTAGTTTTCTTTGACTCCGATCATTCTTTCTCTGCCTTTTTGATCCACTATTCCTTAGCTGCCTCCTCTTAAGCCTTGCACAGCACAGGGGCCAAGGGGTAAGCAGGATCCATCGTGGAAGATCTACGGGAAGTCACACACAGATTATAATCCCCAACAAAGAGGTCCTGAAACCCAAGAGGGAGGAGAGGTGAGAAGCCAGAGTACAAAGGCAGGAGCCAGCAAACAGGACCCCGGGAGAGGAGGCCCTCCTCCCCAGCAGGGCTGGTGCTGGTGCTGGGTTTTCCGGTCTTGCCTCTTTTACCCTATTGAAGCTGAAAGGCACTGCTTGACCTCGGTCATCCATACTTCCTAAGATTCTGTCTTTTGTCACCCTTCTCTGTTCTCAGCACTTTCTCCCTAAATATTTAGCTACTCCCAGGGCTTTGTCTATAACCTTAATTACTCCAAATTATATCTTCAGCAAGAAATTCTTGCCTAATTTCCAAGCCCTAGTTTCCTTTTTAAATTCCTTTCCTGCTCCTTCTCCCCACTTTCCCTCATGAGCTCTTAGTCACGTAAAGCCATCATGAATTGTTCATGTTCACAGATGAATTCTCATTAACATACACTGTGGCATTCCCACACCTTTATAATTCACCACCTCCAACCAAAAACTAAACGTGGGGAAGCGTGGAACATCCTTCTGTATTGCCACCCTACAAATTTTTCACTGCAATGGCTCAAATGCATGCTCTTCACACCTGTGGATACCCTAAATTCATGCTAAATATTGTAAGTTATGTTTCTAAAAATAGGATACATTCTCCTCAGGGTGGTGACCTCAGCTCAAATAATGCGAAGAACATTTAAAATCCCTTTCTTATTTTTTATAACAGGTAATCCAAGTTCTATTTGGAAAAAGGATGTTTGCAGAGCCTTTTATTAAAAAGAATGTTGAAATCCTGCCACCAAGAGCTTTAAAGCTTTAAAGAGGTAAAGTAAGAAAGTATGAATGCACCACGTTAGAGAGAATTCTGTTGTAGCACTTCTATAATGCATGTGGTGGAAGTGTGAGCCAGTCTCCACAAGCATTTATATAGTCAAATATTGGGATATTTAATCAAATAAAATAAACATTTATACAGTTAGATACTGGAAGTAAGTGAATAAAAAGGGATGGGGTTTGATATTTTTGAAACCTATCAGATGTCTCTTAACTATAGAAAATGGTTACATACAACTTAACGTTAGATCACTAAAACTGACTAGGTAATACAGGTTTTTTTTTTTTTTTTAACACTTTTATTGTGGTGATTACAGGGCTTTTTAAAAACAGCTTAGTTCTCTAGGAGAGAAATATTATTCTGAGGAACTGGCTTATCAATAAATGAAAATTGAAAAGAATGTTGAAAAACTAGCTGCTTGTGTAAGATGGTTTATTACTCCTTAGGAGAAGCTACTCATCTGATTCTTTGTAAGATTCATCAAATACAGCCTCTTGCTGGAAATCTAAATCATCACTTTAAATTATTACAGAGGAAAATACAAAGCAGGAAAAAACAAACTTACATCTCTTGATTACTGCTCTAATGGATGACAAGGGTCCTTGGCTAGAAAAAAAAAAAGAAAGAAAAGCTGTTACACACTCATTAATCCTTTTAAAGAAGGATCATTTATAATGCCAGGTCATTTTGGGGACTCAAATGGCACCAAGCAGCAAGTTTGGTCTATCCTATTTACAAGACGTGAATTTAAGAATCTTTAAAATTGCCTTTGGTATTTAATATGCTTTATGGGAACTGAGGAGGCTGGTGAAGTGAGTCTGCATGTAAATTTAAAATTGCTTTCACAGCTTCCTACATACTGAGTCTTCCAGTGGACACCACTGGAAGTCAGGTAGCAATTATATGGTGCTCAAAAGAATTCTGACCCTTTATATCTCTTTTGTGTTTGACATCAGAATTCCTGCCTTCTCTTATCAGATCAAAATAGGTCACTTTTATAATCAATTTGACCTAAAGGACCAACAGCATTCCTCCCTAAGATCAGAATTAAAAACATCACCACCTAAAAAAAAATCTTTTGCCTGCTTCAACTTTTGTTCAATAGCTGGTTGGTCCTGGCTGCCTCCGACTGTGTGACCTTGGGCAAGTAACAGAACCCTTCTGAGCCTCACCTTACTCACTGGTCAAAACTCACCAGCTGCAAAGGTTAATGCTACTAGTTTGTGAGGCTGTTTGTTCATCTGATTTTTGTCTTTATTCAAAACAGATGGAATAATTATTTTTGGAATCATTTAGAAAAAATATGCAACCATGAAAGTTTAATGATATGATTTAGAAAGAAAGCTTGTTTATAAAATTCTTTATTTTTTTCAGAATGCTCTTTTAAATTTTATACTTATTTTTGAATTTATGCTCTTTTAAAATCTATGCTTATGGTCATCTGGATAAATCCTCTTGCTGTTCCTTAGGTAGATAAGAAAAAACTTCAGGAAGATACAATGATACATAGTTTATTTTATGAGAGGGGACCCTTTAGAACATACTGTTCTGACAGACAAGAAAAAATTAAGCTGCAAGTGGTCTTCAGTATCATGAAGCTAGGACCGTAATATAAAATATAGATATTTTCAGCAACACTTTCTTTTAAATAAAAAAAAAGTTTTTAAAGGCTTTCTGTAAACAACTACCTGAAAAAAAATTTAGTATCAGGTAATATAGAGGAGGTAACAGCACTAAAACACAAGTAGGTGGACCGAAGTGTTCAGAGGAAGCTTCTTGGTGCAAAAGTGGAGAGATTCCGTGTGTTAATATTATGTTGACGCAGGTACAGTAATTAAAAGGATTAGAGTCAGTACTTAGAGCCAAAAGCCAGCCTCCTATGTGTCTAGGAAGAATATAAGAGATTTTATTGAATGTCTCCATTCAGTAGTCTCCTTACTCAGTACCACTGATTTGATGGGATGTCGTCACACTCTTTGCTACCTCTGTGAAGGAGACAGGTGTACTGACTGGGGTGGAACACGGTGGGGGGTGTTTGGGTTGAATTGCTTCCCCTCCAAAAAAGACACGTTGAAGCCCTCAGCTCTAGTACTTCAGCATGTGACCTTATTTGGAAACAGGGCCAATACAGATAAAATTTCTACAGTAAAGAGAAAGTCATACTGGAGTGGGGCGGGCCTCTAGTTCTAATGTGACTGGTGTACTTGGAAGACCATGTGGAGACAGAGATACACAGGGGCAGTGCCACGTGATGCCAGAGGCAGGAGGATGGGAGTGATGTGGCTGCAGGCCAAGGAATGCTGCCGACGGCCCACAGGCCCCAGAAGCCAAGAAGAGGCAAGGACGGACTCCTCTGCGGCTTTCAGAGGAAGCAGGACCCCACTGACAGGCTGGGTTTCAGACTTCTAGACTCCAGAGCCGTGAGACATTAATTTCTGTCACTGTAAGTCACCTAGTGTGTGGTACTTCGTTACGGCGGCCCCGGGAAACTAACACAGGGTGGCCGTCCAGGGTGCTGAGTAGATGAGATAATTCATTGAGCTGTACACTTCGTGCACTTCTCTGTATGTTACACTTTAATAAAAGTTGTGTGTGGGGTTGGAAACCGTGGCACAAAATAGAATTTTGACTGAGGTCAGCTCAGGTTCTACAATTCTCAAGACTTGCAGCATCACTTTTAGGTTAGATTTACAAACCAACCAAGCAACCAAGCAACCAAAATCTTATGTCTGTAACGGCATTTCCCAAACTCTATAAAGTTTCCAGTTCTCCTTTAGAGGTTGACAGAGTTTATGGAAGGTAGAATGAAAAAGGAGGCCCATGATTAAGTATGTCTCAATGGGAAACAGTTTTGGGAGATGCTGGAGAAGCCTCCAGGCTGTGTGGTGCACAGAATTTCTGTATCTCAAATGTAGCTGAGGATGCAAAAACCGTGGTTCTGAAGATGACTCTTCACGCCCATCCTTCTGCAGAGCCCAGGCTACAGGTGAAGGAACCACTCCACAGTCTTAAGAGAAAACCTTACAGACGGAAGTCCTCCCTCAACGTGAGCTCAGGCTCCTGTCTCAGCTGGGAACAGCCAAACCAGATGGCCACCAGGGGGCAGTAGATGCAGCCACACAACCCCTGATTAGAGGAGGGGGCAGCAGACCTTGTTCTGGATCCAACAGCCCACATTCACTTCTGGTGCCTCTGCTTGCCAGCTGGTATGACTTTGTGCAAATTAAACTACTTAGCTTCTCCAAGGCCCCTGGTTTCCTCACATAAAAGCAAGGATAACCCACTTCCTTCATGAGGTCATTGTGAGGAGTCAGAGGGAGAATCCATTAATACATATGTGACATAGTGCCTGGAAAGAAGTGTGGGTTCAATAAATGTGAGCTGCTGTTAGCATGATTCATGTTTGTGCACAGTCTTTAGGGGGATCACAAAGCATCTGGTAACACATACAACCCTTGACAGCTTCTCATTTTGGGGTCTGATATAGATAGTAGGCCTAGCAGTTTCTGTTTTTAAAAGACTTTTTTCTTTGAAATTCACTTGGCTCTCTTCCGATTTCTGCTGTTCAGATGGAACCTGAGCTCAGGCCCCTTCACGACCAAACAAAGGGCTGTGAAACTGCATCTCTGCTCCATGCTAAATGCAGAAGCCTGTGTCCTGGCTCTTGACAGAGCTGACCCAGATCTTTTGCCTTCTGCTCTTCAAGTGTTGCTGCTCTATTATCAGGTGCCCTTGTTCCTGGTGTGGCAGATAAACCTACTCCAGAGTATGAGAGTCAAAGAAACTTCCAGAAGGGAAATAAAAGGTTGGGGAAATGGCTTTCAGATACTGAGGAGGAGAACCAAAAGCCAGGGTCAAGACAGAACTGTCTCAGATATGACTGCCTGATGATCCGTCTTCCTTCTGTCCCTTTGTCCACTCTCCCTCAGTAGCCCTTCTCGGGCTGTGCTGTAAGGTCACTCACTGTGTCTGCATATAACTTTACTTAGTTGTAAAGAAGGTGGTTTTAGGAAAGAAAACTGCATTTTAAAAACGTTTCTTAACATAATGAATTTCTAATGATGAGATTTCAGCGACGAAGATGATGAGAACAGCTTATTATTTTGTGTGCCAAACACACAATCCATTTTGAAAATGAGGAGGAACTGAGGCTTAGAGGTTAGGGCTGCAGTCACACAGCTGGTAAGTGGCAGAGCCAGATGTGAATTCAGTACCATCTGATTATAGTCCAAAAGTCCATAATTCACGCTTGGGTAGTTGGGTAAAAGTTTCCGGATGATCCACAAAGTTCAATAGGTAGGCAAATACCCCTGGGCATAAAGCTGGCCCCTCAAATATCACGTCGGACTTTCATCCAGACTGTGCAGATACAGGGATGAGCAAAACAAAGGCTGGCAGGTGCAACACTGCACTGTTGTCAACAATGACAACAAAGCACAATGATCATTCTTAATCTCATCTAGGGAAATCCAATCTTTCTTTACATTTTGGATTATGTTTTATTTATCATAATATGACAGAGTCTAAAAAATATTTATACAACTTTCAAAAAAGCAGCTTGTTTCCAACTGTAAATTCACCCTCCACTCCTCCCCTTGGTGAGGAAAAAATGATTTTCACAAATCTAGGAGTCGCTGGATTTGGTGTGTTTGGTACACAAATCAGAACAAAGCCTGCAAGTGCCCACTGTCATCATCACATCAGTTTTTGGAGTTCCTTCTATGTGCAGAGACAACTGAATATATTTTTTAAAATGCATTCTTTATAAAAATCCTTGATAAAGGGCATAAGCATATCATTAAAGAACCAGTCAATAAAGCCATTAGCTTAACAAGGAGTTAAACCAATGTGATCTAGAGGTGCAGCCCTCTAGTCAAGCTGATAAACACGCCAGTGCATATAAAGTTTATCCCCTTGTACAACCTTTTCCAAAGGCTCTCAACATTTGTATGGATTAATCTCCACCTCCCAGCAGAAAGTTTTAACTAGATTGGTGTGATTTTTTCAGGCTAGAAGAGGTATTCTGCTTCATCCATTCTTTCAAACAGTAGTTATCACATGGGTGATATGTATGAGGCACCAGGAATGCCTTGAAAGCACAGATTCTGACCCCAGTGAGAAAGACAAATAGTGCAACTGCTTTTCTATTAACAGAACATATGGGTAGGCACAAGGAGCTATGGAAGCAGAGAAGGTATATATCATTTGATCTTGGGGTCTGAGGAAAGGCTCCCAACATGTGATACAGGTCTTCACTGAGACCTGAAAAATGTGTAAGAGGAAACGTTCTGAGGAGACAGTGTCAGATAGCATGTGCAAAAGGTCAGGAGTGAAGAGACAGCTGAGCTTTGTCTGAGCACAGCAAATGAAGAAGCCATCGTAAGAGATAAGGGATTGGAACCCAAATGCCACGCCAAAGGATGTGGGAACATGCTGTGCAGGGAAGTGTTGATGCCAGGCGTGACCAGCTAGATTAAACACTAAGATCCATGGGTCAGGGATATGACAGCAAAGTGTTTCAAAAGCAAGTAGGAATTTCTCTGGAGACCTCTCTGGAACAAGCACTGTTGACTGTAGCTGGTCTGTATGCACCAGCCATGATTTTT